GTAGTAGCAATAATAATTATTATTATTATTGTTATGTCATTTCTGTTATTATTATTTTGTTATTGTTATTGCTATTTTTATTAACGTCACCATTATTATCATTGTTTTTGCTACTAATTATTATTAACCATGTATAATAATTTATTATAAATATATCATGAAAATATCAGTATTTCAATGGTGCTATTAATCTCACAAATATCATCATTATCGTTAATAATATTACCTTCAAAAATTAATATCATTTTTAATAGCATATGCATTATATTCTGTTCCGCTGATATTTGATTATAAATTACATGGAAATCCTGAAATTACACTTATGCTTTATCTATTATTCAACTATTCCGGAAAAGATCTTTCATGAACTAATTACAATCTTTAGTATATAGATTTGAATATGTTTCAAGAAAATAAAAAATGGATCAAAATTGTCGATAAATCACTATTTACCTGTAAATCTTGAATCGCTATTCTTACGTACATTTCCACCGTTTTCTTCTTTTCCTCAGCTTATCCGCTATCATTAAATTTCAAGTAAAACTAATGTCAAAATTTGAATTTCCGTTTAATTGGTTAACGTCGTAATTGTTGATAGATATGAAGAACATACTGGCTGACTGAATCCATTCCAACTGAAATTTTCCTAATTACTATTGATAATAATTATTATTATTGATAATACTAATGATAATCATTATTATTGGAATCAAACGAATGAACATGGATAATTTTTTCGGAATCTGATTTTTTGAAATTATCCTTATTTTTCTTTTGATATATTTGATATGATAACGATCGACGAACATTTTCTTTTATTACCACAAAGCAATTGAAGCAAGTCGAAATCTCACTTACATAAACTTTCAGTTAAGTTAAGTTTTATTCGAATATAATTTTTTCCTTTTCAGTAGTCTTGTTAACGTAGAAATTTGGGTTCACTAAAAAAATTGAAATGAATTTGCAAAATGGAAAAATAAAATACAACCATTTAAAATGGAAATGATATGATCGGATTATAGGAACATTTAAAAGTGATTGATATTTGGCATTCATTTAAATGAAACAATTTTCTTGTACCCAATTAATAATGCATGAATGATGAATGAATTATTTTGATTGTATGATTCCATGTGTGATAAGTGATAATTCAATGTGTGATTAATGATAATTTAGTCTTTTAATTATATTTTGAATTAATAAATATCACCGTTTTTTTTTTGTTAACTTAAAATTAATTAAACTAGTATAGAGATCGATTAAAATACTCTCTCTCATAATCGACTGAAAATGAAGTATGATTGGAAATATTCCGGAAAATTAAGAAGATATCGGTAACTAAAGCTAGATTATCGGAACATTCAAAGTTTTAAATAACAAATGAATTTAATAAACTGATTTAAACATTAGAATTCTTATTCATTTTAATTTGTCACATACAGAGGAGATCAGAAGATGTCTATAAAATGCAATTCGGTTGTCAATTATTTAAAAATTTTAAATCTACTGGAAAATTTCAATTACTTCCACAATTAGTTCACTTGTTTAAAATTAAATGATCGATGGTGTACTGAGAAATGAATATTCAGATTTTTGCTCATGCATAAAATTATTTAAAATTATATGAATGATAAATGATTTCATCTAATAGTAAAAATTTAAATGATTTCATCTAGCAGTAAAAATTTTTGAAGTTATCAATAAACTATAAAATATCCTGCATTGATTGATTATCAACGAACAAATAAATTTGAATGAAAGTGACAAGCAATTTATTATTTAAATATTGTTAAATAAGAATACATTAATTCAGGAGAACATTAAATCGGAAGAAAGGAAGAGCAGAAATTTAAATGAAGTTTGAATTCCCAGAATGGCTATTATGAAATTTAGCATTATCTATGTAAAATGGATTTAAATAGCTTTTTCTTAATTAATTCTTAATTTATATTCTTAATTAATAATTTATAACTCTTAATTTCTATTCTTAATTCTTAATTTATAACTATTAATTTACATATTAAATTCTTAATTTATAACTCTTAATTTATATTCTTAAATTCTTAATTTATAACTCTTAATTTGTATTCTTAATCCTTAATTTATAACTAATTATTTATATTCTTAATTCTTAATTTATAACTATTAATTTATATTCTTAATTCTTAATATACAACTCTTAATTTATATTCTTAATTCATAATTTATAACTCTTAATTTGTATTCTTAATTCTTAATTTACAACTCTTAATTTATAATTATTAATTTATATTTTTAATTCTTAATTTATAACTCTTAAATTTTGGCAAAAATAAAATATTAAAACCAATGACCACTTTGGCAATATTATTTACAACAAATGTAAATTAAATCTTTGATGTTATTAACCAGGTAACGAGTACACAAGTCGTACTAATATACCAGATATACCAGACAGATAGTTCCAGTATCGAATTTGTTGCGATATCCGATAACTGAACAAATTCTTGATTCAGAATCTTCCCTTGTTTAAATATTTTTTTATGTTGCTTTATTTTTCTTCGCAATTTTAAGCGTAAAATCAGCTTTTTGTTTTTTGTTGAAAAGGAAGAAAGCTGAAATTGCAACATTGTGGGATTTAAATTAAGTAATGATTTGATGTCATATGAATTACTCAAATAATTAAAATGTGAAAGCTAAAGAAAATGATTTTATTGATTACAAAAATAAATAAGCAATCATGAGAATAAATAAACAGATACACTTCTCTGTAGGCATTTCAAAAACAAACAAACAAACAAATGATATTTTAAAAATAGTACTTTTCATTTTAAAAAAAATAATACTTTTCATCGAATTAGATTACGAATGAATTTGTTTACAAATAATAAATTTAATTCTATTTTTTCTACATTGATAACAAGATAAAAACCGAAGAGGTATACTGCAATCTCAGTTAATTAATGCTTCATTAACAATTTCAGTATTCCGAAAGTTTTCAGGTATTCATTCCTATCTAATCTTTTGTTTCTCAATTTAAAGCAAATTTTGCTTTTTTTCCTATTTTAGTTTTGTTGACAACTGCTAGTGATATTGATAATATATCAGATACTAATGTTAAAATCATGATGCTAAATTATGATTTTAAAATTTTCAACACTGAATAATCCTTAGGCAACAAAATAATTATTAAAGCTGCAAGATTTTATACAAAGGTTGCTTTTACAATCAGAATAAGCCTTATGATCTGACTAAGAATTATCTTGAATAAAAAAGTTCATAAATTCATATAATCACGGCAGGTATTGGAAAGTAATTGCTATGAATTTGTTTTCACATATTCCAAATATTAATAAATCACTAAAAGGGTATATAATATCATATAAACGTTTTCCAAAAAGAACTCTCACACAATAATTTACTGATAATTATCGTATAATGATGAATGGAACACAATTTAAAAATCCATTTATATAATTCAGTAAAATTTCACTGTCACTTAACTGGCCATTAGCCATCTAATTAATCTTAATAAGCCATTAATCAAACTTAATTATTCTTAATTAGCCATTAATCAAACTTAATTAACTTTAATTAGCCAAACTTGATGTTATCTTAGTGCATTAAGCAGTCTCTGCATTATTTCATTATAATTTTCAGAAAGAAGATGAAAAATTTTTGATGCTTTGAACTTTCGTCATTCAACTACTAGGATGTTTTGGGATGACTTAAACACATTTGGGCATGAAAACATGAATTATGATGATTGAAAACTTTTACTTTCATTCTTAAGCCAAAATTTATAAAATATATAAGAAACTTCAAGGATCAAAGATCAAAACTATACCAAATTTCTGTATCCTGAAAATTGAATATTAGCCAAGCAAATATACAATTTGTGTTTAAATAAACGTGAATTTAGATTTATGCATTAAGTGCCCTTGCTGAGCTGCGAAAATTTCACAAAGACACCCTATGAATTTCAGGTAATTTTCGATGAGTGGGCGTACTGTTGTTTGGGGATTCGATTCTTCCTGGTAAGAAGGTGGTAGTGGGATACCGAGAGGAAGAAGGTCAGTCAAATTTAGCAGTAAATTTAGTAGGAGTTAACGAAATAACACTGCAATTGAGCGATTAAACAGATACTAGTGAAGTTTACAAGTCAATGTGATATTAGGAATTGAGAAATTTTTCGAATATAACTTTTTCTAATCACAAACAATGCTTCGACAACATCAAAGCATTGTTTGTAATTAGAAAAAGTATTATAAGGAGAAGAGATAACGGAGAGTAACAGTAGTTTGGTAGATTAAGGAAGTATGTAAATAAGAGCGTTAGGTAACTGGCAATTGAGCTCAAAGAAGAGCAGCGATCTCTGTCCAAAATTCAGGAACTTAGGTTAAGGTTGAAGTAATTTCAACAACTTATTTCTTCGTGCATTTTTTTTCAGAAACTTTAAGGAAAATTAATTTGTGTATCCGTTATGAATAATAAACGAATGATTCATTAATATTTTTCATACTGTTCAGGATTAAAAATGCCAGCTTCGTTATTATTTGGAGAAGATAATGTCAAATGTTATTTCCGTGTTTGATTTGCATTGGAAAGATATCTAATATAATCGATTTCGCTTTTGCATCCTATTTGTTGCCTTTGTTAGTCGTCCAGTTACGATTTTTCCTTCTGAACAATGATAGTCACTGAATTTCCCGTAATTACCAAGTAATTGGAGTTCGTTTTTACGAACAATTTCCAGTGATGACTTGTTTTACTGACATATGACATGTGCCTACCATTAGTAGGAAACGTGATACATTGAAAGGCTAGATGGCATGATATTTTTTGAAAAAATTTGCATACCGATGGTCATTTGCCTCATGCACTACTGTTGAATAAGGAAAATTTTTTTTAATTTTTGTTCTAATTTTTGGGATTATCCTTTTTCCTGATTTCAGATATGAATGTGCTAAAGTTTCAACCGCGACTTTAGCACTAAAACTAGTGCTGGTCAGGATTCCGTAATGATATTTTCGACAATGTTGCCGCAAGCAAATGCGGCAGCATTATATTTGAAGCAGTCGTGTCCATTTTTCCGGATTGGTTTATGTATAGTTTCGCTAGGTTAGTTTGACATACCGTTTTTTATAAAGCGAAACTTGTATTGTTAAGGCTTAACGTTTAATGTTAAGTGGTGGTTCCGTCGTCGATTTCCTTATTGATTTTTATAGACAGAAAAGGTAAGTGAAGTGGCTTCTCCAACACCGTTTAATGTTACATTACACATCTAACAAAAATGCAAATGTTGTATCTTCCATCAAACGGCACAGAAGCCGGTAACGGCGAGAGATTAGTATCTCGTAATTTATTTATGTTTCTTTTTTTAGGCGGAATTTTGTCTCGTTCTGAAGTTATTTTTGAATTCTTCTCTTTAACCGGTAACGATTTGGTGCGGTTTGAATTGTGGCGCCTGTTTACACATTTTGCTATCGAAACCAATATTTTTGCTTTCATTTTACTGGTGTGGAATCTTCATCAAGTGGCATCATTAATCGAACCAAATTGGGGCACGTTCGAAACGATCAAATATTTAGGCATTGTTCAGGTGTAATTTTTGTGCTACATTATTTTAAATCGTGATTAGTTTTGCTTATTTCTGATATGAATATTATACATTACCGGGTTTTCGAATTAGCTGTTAACTTGGATGTCACTCAGTAATGTAAGCTAGCAAGGACGTAATACGCTGACATTAACTGAGGAGAAATTTTCTGATTTATGTTTAGGTTTCATAATGACATATGTAAGTCCTTTTATCAACCAGTTTTTTTTTTAACTGCTAAGGCATAACGTATCACAGATGTATTTATTTGGCTGTCCTGTACTTCCTGGCAGTAGTTAATTACTGGGGATTTTTTGAGCATTTTTTATACTGTTATTTGAATGAAACAGTATAGATGCCAAACTCAATTATTAAGATGTTGATGGCTAAATAGCTTTAGATTTACTTAATAAGCGATGTTGAAATGGTTGAATTTAACTGAGTCAAAGTAAACAGAAATTAATATGATTATATTGCTTTGCTCTTTGCGGGAATATCTGCTGGTTTATTTGAAATTAGAGTTGGAAACCTTACCCTTTTCATAAATTTCACTTTCTAGATTGGATCATCGTTTTTAATTGCCGTTATGGCATTACTGACATTTATTATCACAATAAATGACACCTTTTTCTTCCGGACCCATATATTTGGCTTGCCATCAGCTTGTTCCGCCGTTTGTGTTGCCATGAAACAGGTAAAGAGCTTATCTCTTCCTAAAATTTTGAAAACCTTTCCAATATTAGTATTCCTTTGATCTATTATTTATATCCTGTTTAGAAACGTTTGTTTTAATTAAAACATTGAATGTTTGATTAATCAGCCGTTTTAAGCACTGTTATCCATCTTTGCCAAGCTTTTATCTGTCGTCTTGTAAAGGAGTCGATGATCATCTCCATGCATGTGGGTACTATTTTCAGTACCTGCCAGATTCGATACTTCTAATTACACCGGTTGGACGTATCAAAAATACTCATCTTCCTTCTTGTGTTATTGTCGGCGCATCATTTTTGGTTGCATTCGGCCTTCTTCGTTGGGTTTCGTTACTTCAGATTCTATGTGGTATTCAAATAAGCTGGATTTATTTGCGATTTTTTCAACCGCATGATGATGGTGAACCGAAAGGGGATCCCAGCGAACATTTTGCGTGGGCAACGTATGCCATATGATGTTTTTTCAACTATGTTGTAAATTGCATCTGTATTATTTCCAATAAGTTCTATAAGTTCACCTTTACTAATGATAATCGTTGAATACCTTGTCCAGCGCTGTGGGTGCAATGCTAAAAACTAACTAAAGAGTTGAAGAAATGTATGAAGCTTATATGGCAAATCTTCACTAGATAAAGTCGCATCTGTAAGTGCTGTAGATGAGTCTTGGAATAAAGTTGAAGTGCTTATTGCCAAACAAATCTGCTCCATTCACCCATTAGATTTTCAGCAATTCGAATTGTTAGTTCATAATCGTTCAACATAAGATACTGTCACCGATCTTATCCTGAGCACCCATTTCGCTTCCAATACAGTGCATTCATCTTATGTGTAAAAATATGAGTACATCAATTTACTATAAGCAGAATGTGTCGTTCCTCATTATGTGAAGTTTTAGAAGAAATATTAAAAAATTAGTGTTCCAAAATTTAGAAAAAAAATGTATAAAGTCTTTTTCCATTCGATGCCAAATTTATCCACTTTATTTTTATACACTTTCAGTCTCTTCCCCTCGAAGTTACAACCATTAATGAGAGTGCTATCGTCAGCAGTTTATACTTGCTTGATACAAGCACGTCTATGTAAACCAATGGCAAGGCATATTGATCTAATGCAACTTGATTCCGTAAATGTCATTCTTCCTGGTTTACATACGAGAGATACGGAGAGAAGGCGGTAGGACTTTCCTTACATTTTTCAGATATCTTTGATATTTCAGTTGCCATGAACTATTAGTTTTCACTAATACACTACTGTTTTGAATTTCAACTTCTGCTTAATGTCATCGAAACATGTGATTAAATTGGTTGGTTGAATCTGTTTTAAAATGGAAAATTTTTTAGGCAGAAAGCGCTACGAGATTTGACCGAACGTTTAAATCGAGCGCAGCAGGCTGAAACAGGTTTGTGCCCGGAAATGGAAGATGTTGAAGAAAATATAACAGTTCAGGATACTTCTGCAGTACAACAGCAGAAAGAATCAGAACCGCACGATCCAGTTAGTATCAAATTTTAAAAGTCTGAACCGTACATAGATTCGTCTAATTTCTATAATCTAGACAATGGACTGAAGATCGTTAACAGAAGCAGATTTATGGTCGTGTTCTTTGCTCAGTGTGCATTTGAAAAAAGATGCACTACATGATACAATAACCAGTTAATGACGATTAGTTCTGGCTAAAGTTTCAGTCATCTGACCTTTTCCCTGTACCAAAATTTTGTTTGAGAGGGGAGATCAAGGTCAGAGTGAACTTCAGTATAGAATATTTCCAGCGTTTATTTCAAAACTGAAATGACGCTCTTCTATGCAACTTTTTTTTACTCGTAGTAAACAGTCACTTTTCATGCACCCAAGTAGTCCTTTTCGCATCAATAAATTTTTAATATTAACACTTTTATAGGTGTCTTTAACTGAAGAAATTAATGTCGATAAAGAAAAAGGAGATATATAAAATGCATACTTCCGAGCAGGGCAGTTCAGCTATCTACAAATGTTCAGTCCTTCATCTGGAATTAAAACTAAATGAAACATTTTGCAGTGCTATTGGGTTGTGTTGTTTTGTGATAATTTTTGCATTTTGGATACAAATTTTTGCATACAAGCATTTTGGTCAGAAGAATGGTTGTTAGAAATGGCATGGAAGTGGAAGTCTACTTAAATAAAGATTTTTAAATTACAGTTTTTGCACTGAGTGGTTGCAACTGAACATTCATGAATAGACTTTATTACAGGAAAACAAAAGGCCAAACCAGAATCTTCTGTTCGATCTTTATGGTCAAAACAGTGCTCCCTAAATATAAGCACCAAAATAAAGCCATGATATAAAAAATTCTAATTCTGCACACTTAAACATTTATTAATTTCTAATTATATCTGCAATCTTTCAAATTACTATATGACCAAAAAAACTCTCTCTAACTACAGAACTCTTAGAACTAAGATGCCAAGAACAACAGCATCGGATTCGGGACATCCTTTCCGGTCTACTCCGGACAAACAACGCCCTATCACAGAAACGACAACCTCCCAGGCAAGCATGAACAACCGCATCCCGCCTATTCATCAAAACAGCAATAGCAACTGTATTTAAAGAGAAACGCCAGAACCTTACAGAGCCATAGCGGACTTGTAAATTGCTAGTGCGCTGTCGAGTAACAAGGGGCGCTGAACGACGAATGTGGAATTGTCGGAAGCTGCACCGGTGGACAACAGGAACAACCGGATTGGCAGTCACTTAGCATTATTTGCCGGAGGAATAATAAATGATCTACCAAACTAAAACTTTAGCGGATAAACGAAATTTCCATTGCTATACCACACAAGCAACAGTATTATAATTTATTATATTTATTATACTTTTTGCTCCTGGTATGTTGTCTTTAATGACTAATGTAATGTTTTACCAAATGAAAAAATTGGAAAAATTATTAGGCTGATAAAAGTTTTTACCGGAAGAATAGTTAACATCCTATTAAAAAAGTATAAAGGTATTAAACATTAGTAGCAGAAGTTCCGAACATTTTGAATTATAGAATAAATTAGTATGTGTCGAACATTGATTTACCTTATTTTCTCGTTTATTAACAATGCACGATTAGTTGAAATTATTAAGAATTAATTCTTTTTTACCAGCAATTTACTTTTTAACTTTATAATTACTACTAAAAGGATCCATACATTTTCCGGTATTAAGAAATGATTCGAAAAGGCGTATATATTATCATATGGACATATTAAAGAAGCAGATATACAAGCTCCCATTTGTTCATCTTGCAAATAAATTTACATAAAAGAATTAAAGATGAAACATAAATAGTGAAGTAAATCTATGAATTGAGATATTCAAGAAGTTGAGGTTTGCATTCGTAATATAGCGCAATTCGATCCAAGCCATAACTGATGTAATCAAATGAAATAGGTAGCGCTTCATTAGCTGAGAAAAATGACCAAATGGACCAAAACAGGTGAGATACGGCAGGAAAACGACGTGCTTCAAGAAATAGTTTCTGAATTTCAGCTTCACGATTCAAGGATAAATTCTTAACTGGATAGTAATTGTCACCATTTTGATTTTGCTATAATAAAGAACTTAATGTTAATATAACAACCAATAACTGAGTATTTAAAAAAGATCGTTTTTCCAAAAGAATTTCTGAAGTTATTTATTTAGATATAAAAAGAGGTCAACTTCAAAAGTTTCCTTTTAAAAAGAGTAACGTTAATAGCGTTATCATAACTCGAAGGGAAATCAGTATTCTAATAGCAATTTCAAAATAGCTTTAAAATTTTTAAATTTATCACGAAAAAAAGACATCTTAGGTTAAACCTTTAATTTTTCACTATTATCAAAATGTCATACTTATATTTAAATTAACATTAAACTTATGTACGTTAATAATGTCAAATTTTTTACCCTATCAATTTCATCTAGATATGAGTTGAAAAGACACTGAAGCTGTTCGTCAGATGGTGTTCGTCCTCGTTTTATCCAATAAAATGGTGGCTTTTCATTTCTATAATCCAACATATATTCACAAATGTAGTTACCAAATTCAAATCCTCTGAAAATTAAATATTGTTATTTCTTTTTCGAAATGTTTACCACAAAAATAAATATGAAAATATTTCAGATATTTCCTCAAATGATAAACAGAAAATATGGAAATCAAAAAAAAAAAAAAAGGATACCGGTAATTATAGCTAGCATATTCAAAATCGATCGGCGAAATTGGATCTTCATTTTCGTCAATATCAAAACCACCGTTCTCATTAATGGTATATCGATTGTGCAGTAGTAAATTACCTTCCTGAAATTATTCATTTTCAGGTTCAATCCTTTATTGCTTCCCTAATTCCATTATTTGTAGCATCATAATCATTAACGAACATTATCATACATGAGTCTTAGTTATGAAATTTAGTGAAGTTTTTATTTTACATTTTATTTTCCATTACAGTAATAGATTATTTCCAAATTTAAAATATGATGAAAAAAAAAGGATGTCATATTAAAATGTAGTAAGCACATACTACGAATATCACCATATACAAACATACTATAAATTATTCGACAATTTTCGCTATTTTTTTTTGCCAAAAAAAGATTTATTATAAAAACTATAGCAATATACTGTAATTAATAATTATTCGACAAAAATTAGAATAATTCATTTCAGGAATCTTACAAAAATTACTGCTTTTTCATTTTGCACTTTTTTTCTTTCCTTTTCTGCTAAATATTTGATAAGATAAAATAACCTGGAGATCGTTGTGACAGAATACAATTGGACTTCCGCTTTTCTCCAAACATAGTTGTACGATTTCTAATTCGTTTTTCAAAACTGCATATGTTACAAGCTCGGGACACGGAAATATTTTTTTCATATGTAAATTATTGACGAAAATTAATATTTCTTTTAAAAATTTAAATAAAACAATCAATGTATAGAGAGGATGTAGTTTTTCACATACATGTGTGTATTCATTTTACTGAAATGATTAGATTGTATGCCGCAATTAAGAATACTAAATTTCACGATAATGAATTTTTTTTTTCGTAATATACCCTATCAATGTTAGGAAAGATGATATGATGTTGATGATTATTGTTAGTTTAGCTTCTATCTTCTATCCGAAGTTAATTTATACATAATTTTGTTTTTCTTTTTGAAAATTTAAATTATTCCAAAATAAACATATTGCTAATATATTTGTTAAATTTTTGACTAAACTGATGAAATGGAAAAAAAAAAAAACAACCGTTTCAATTTTGTTGTAACATGAAAATACGGTATGATGATCAACTACATTAAGCATACCATAATCTTGAAGAATGGTGACACGAATATGCACACTAAATGATTAATTTGATTAACAATGATCATGATTGAGTAATATATCGTCAATAATTGATTGATGATACCTTTGAACGATTTGCTTGCACCAATGATTTGCTTTTAAACCTCATTTTGTGGCGTATTTTGTTGCCCAATTTTTCAAGCCATCTTTCAGCTACTTCAACAATCATTGGTTTTTTGGCAATAGGTACATTAAGTGTATGAATTCGAGCAAACACCTTTCCCAAATGTTTGTTAATGCTAAAATTACACGAATAAAATAGCGATAAGAGAAGGAATAATAATTTAAATTTAAATTTTGTTGAAAAAAAAAAATTCAAATTTTTGCCCTGAATATTGAAATTCATCGCAAGTTAATGGACGTGATGGAATATACTGTTCGAATCGACCGGATGGAAAAACGGCAAACAATCGTGGTCCAAGCATTCTAAAATCATTTCAAATTTTTGAAAATTTATCCATCAAATCAAAATACTATTTTTTTGTTTTTAAAATAGTTCAATAAATAAATTTCACAGTTTGAATAATCAATATTGCATATGAATTTAGGAAATTATCGTAATTCAAAATATATCACGTAAAAATTACAACATTTGAAAATTTCCTAAACCTTCAAATATTTTTCAAATATCTTGGAAACATGTTTACATTGTTATTTTTCGCCTTAATTTTTATTTTGCATAATTTTAAGTAGTTGTTAATATTTTTTTAGAAATTTATGAAATAAACAAAATAAAAACAAAAGAAGAATTTCCAGGTTAATTAAAATGAAATTAGCATATCAAATTAGTAAATTTTAACTAATTAGAACAAAAGAAAAAAACCTTTCAGAAAGCATTGTAAAAACGACTGCTTCACTAAGAAGATGATCAACATCATCGGAATAATGTATGCGCAAAAGTGAACGAATTGGTTCTTTTCCCTCTGGTGCCATATTTTCTGGTAATTCCACTAGAAATAATAAATTGCTTACACCACCTCTGAAAAATAAATATTTACTTATATATTTATTTATTTGTTTATTTATTTGTTTATTTATATTGTATAATTTTCATGCAAAATCAATTTTATCCATTTGAAAATGTCTAATTTTGATTTTTTTAAAATTTAATTGTATCCTTTTTTTTTTTTGATTTATTAATTTTGGTGATTGCGTACCGTGTGTACTGAAAACGGCGAAGGGTGCTGAATTACTGGGAAATTTACATGTAAAGATGGAAAAAGCAACAGCCGGCTTTGGTGGCAAGGATTCTGCGGTAGTCGGG